AGCATTTGCTGATTTGGTATTTTCAAAGTGGAACAGGACAGATGTGTGCAAAACCAGCGGTGCCCTTGGCTCAGTGCCTGCCCTTCCCACACCTTCTGTACCAACAGGTTTAAGCACAAAGATATAAACACTGAATTTTCTGATTGAATGCAGATACTAATGCTTTGTAACATATTTTATTCAAATAACATTCTCGTATAGATTTTAGTCCCGTTAGGAGCCTCTTGAATGCGGAAAATTAAAGGAAGCCAAAACAACTGTGCTTTGGCTGAGGTGGTTTTAGCCTGAGACTCTCATTTCATCAGACTGCTGATTGCTGAAAATGTACGAGACACTGTAGTTTTCTGTAAACATGATCTAAAAATACAGTCTATAGATGCACTTACCTTGAGAGGCCATGAAGCTTCCTGAGTTACTTCTTCAAAGGAAGCCAGGTTAAAAGAAAAGGTTTTTCTTGTTGCAGCAAAGAAAAAAAAGAGCACAGCATGCACAAAACTTCAGAAGGTGTCTGTCTACTTCATATCAGCTTACAAAGAACTGGAGGAAATGTATTGCCTTTCTCATGTTCCAGAACACTGCATTTTACGTCGGTGGACAACAGGGGGAGATGATGCTAACAAACAAGAAAAACATTATTCATTTCAAGTCTTTTGCACCAATAGAAAGAGGGAAAAGTGTTTTGTGAATACAAAGAGGCAAAACTTCAATGTACCCACTGGCTAACTGAACACCTCAGACCTAAAATTCTGCTTTATAATGTATGTCTATATTCTCAGACTACACAAATTCTTTCTTTATAATTTAATATTTATGTTTCTGTTTCTTCAGGGTATCCAGTAAAGACAGAGTAGCTGATTACCTGCATTTCCATATGGCTGTCCCCCAGTCAACATTTCCCATGCCTGAAGCAGAAAAACCTACCTCGGATTTCTCAGTGTGTTCCATCCACCTACCATCAGCCTCCCGTACAAGGGATGTCATGCCTCTTCCCAGATCCAGAAAACGATCCTGTACCCCCATGCCCACCCCACACACCCCTGTGCAGGGCTCTGTTGATCCACATGAGGTGTTTAAACTGGATTTGGAGAATTAAAACAGATTGGCTGCGCTTTGCTCCAGGCAAACACCGTCCATACCAAAACGTAACACGTAATCACCTGCACTGCACGGAGAGGAAAGGAGGAGGGAGAGGAACATCCACTTACCAGATCATATTTCTGCCTCAAGTGCCCAAGTCGCCATGGAGATCATCACGCACAGGTGACCTGCAGACAGACACGATGCATGGCTGCAAAAATGGTAGAGCCTATGCACAGAGGCCAGCGGAGCACAGCGAGGTGCTGGGAACTGCTTTCTGTTCATTCTGCTACTGCAAGTCCTACTGACTTGAAACAGTTTCTAGGAGCATGTCTGAGCAGATGTAATTCCAGAGCTGACAGTTCAGGAAGATGCTCATGAGGATCTCTGAAGGGAGAATATAGAAAAACCTGCTAAATAAAAAAAGTAATTAGATGAAGTTGACTTTTATTAACTATATTAGTTCATGCAAAGGCCCCAGATCTACCTATGGAACCTGTTAAAATTTGGTTATGTGAAACCTCCCAGGAGTCTATCATCACCTGCTTGAGAAGTCCCTGCTGTGTTCACCCCTGGAAACACCATGTGAAGGGAGAAGGCAAGCCACAGACAAAACTTTGGTTGCTGAAAAATAGGCACTAAAGAAATCCTTCTGGACTGGAAAGAAGTTTGATATCACTGGAAATAAAGATTAAGAATTACTTTCTTTCTCCCTGTCCAAGACGTGCTTCTTTGGAGCAGGGAATCTAACCTGGAGAGCAGACATGAAGTCTAAACAAAGAAGAAAAAAGGAAAGAGAAAGCTCTGGATAAATACAGTAAACCTAACTTTGAAAATGACAGATGAAAACTCAGATGAGATGGCACCCACCTACTTTTAAAAACTAATACTCACTTTAGCTGCCAGAAAACCAAACCAAAAAGAAATGCCAATAATTCTGTCAATGCATAAAACAAGTGTAGTACAGTAAGAAAAACATGCCTAAAATAGACAACTCACACATATGCTGAAAGATGATGCTTCAAACATGTATAAAAAGCATTTTTGAGAAGTCCAAAGAGCTCACTTGCTGACCCAGAGGAGCAGACGCACACTGAGGCAGCCTGTCTGTGCCGTACGCCATACCTGTTGCACAGGACCAGTCCCAGTCATTCCCAGCGCATTTGCAGGCCCTGGGACAGTCGGCCCAGCAGTGCTGGGAGCTGCTGGTGCCACGGCGCGTGGGCTCCTGAGTAAGAGCCGCCATGGGAGCACAGACAGGTCCGCCTGTCTGCAGCAGTCGGGTTTCCTTATCCTGCTGCTCAGGAAATAAACATTTTCCTGAAGCAGTTCTGCCCCAAAGAACTAATTTTCTGGCATTATTTACAAAATTGCACTGAATGGGTAATAGAAAGATCTAAAACTTGGCTTGAAGTACATTTTATGTTTTTTGATTTCTTCCACAATTTTCTGTGTCTTTTAAAATGTTCCCCCTTACCCTACTCTGAAGCAGTAATTTTAGTAGATTCCATCAAGAGATTTCTGTAGGATTCGTAAACAATTGTCTTGCCTTGGCATGGGTCTTTTCAAATAAAACTACATATTTAATAGTTTCTTTAATATGAATATTTGGCTTTTTTATTCTTTTTTTAAAAATAAGTACTCACATATTCGTCAAAATATACTCCAGCCATGATTAAAAGCAGCCTCATTGAGGACTTCAGGAGCAGAACAGTCAATCACGCTTGTCCAGGCACAAACACAGTCATCCTTTGATGTTGTTTAGAAATGCACAGGAAAAACTACTCAAGAAATCAGGACAAGTATTTAAAGAATTGCGTATAGTTATTTCTGGCCAGCTCTTTAAGGACTTCAGGAAGCAGAGCAGCAGTACCCAAAGCAGGATTCAGCCAAGACACCGAGCTCACTGCCTTTGTCCCTTGCAGAAGGCTCCCAGAAATCACTGTCTACATTTGCTCAATCGTTAGGAGTCTGCGCATGCTCCCTTCTGCTGTACGAATGTGCTGAACATCTGTAATTCACTCACAGGTATAAATAAAATTTAAAAAAAAAGAAAGAAAAAGATGAAACTGAGTATGGGTACATGTATTCCCTCTTCCTATAAAATATACTTATTCCATCCCATGCTGTAAAGCTTATAAGAAGCAATGGGGAAATCCTCAGAAGACACAAGTTAGCATGGATCCGTTAAAATCAATGAGACTATTCAAATCAGGGCAAGCAGTGCTTGGCTGGAGGAGTTTATAAATCTACACATTGCATCTTTTCTATAACTATCACTTCTGCAAAAGCACAGAGATTTGTCCCTGCTAAGCCAACATATAAACATCATTGTAGTTAATAGTTGTTACACAAACTACTGCAGCCTGTAGGAAAGCCATCCATGCACTTAGACATCATCATCCCAGATGGCAAAGAGCCGAAATACAGTTTCCTCCAGAAAGCATATAGTATTAGTCAACCAGGTGGATCAACAGAGCAAAGATACCCTATGGCTCAACATAGGTGCTGCCTTTCTGGATCATAATTGCTCTTCTTTTTTTTTTTTACAGGCACTACAGCCTGAGCATGGCAACGGTTTCACAAAAAAACCCACCTTGCCTATCAGTCAGAGGCACCAAGAGCAAAAAAAAAAAAAAAAAAAAAAAAAAGGAGACAGCAACAGAATTCAAAGTATTAGGAAAAGCTGTTTGATTTCTTACCCTGCTCCCTGCTGCTCAGGAAACTGCCCTATAAATCTGGTGCCAGATATCTGCCCCACTGTATCGCTACCAGCACCCCCAGGTAAACAGGAACCGGCTCTCCCCTTGTCCCCACAGCCCAGAGAAGTTCATGCGAGAGAGCGCAACTCCTCCCCACCTGCCCTTACTGAGGTCCGAGCAGGCAGGGACACGCTCTGCCCTCCAGCAGGGAGGTTCAGGGGAGCGTGCAGGCACCAAGAAACACACCCGAAACCTCAACTCAGCAATGCCTCAGCTTCCCTGCTGCTAAGAAGGGTAATCGCTAATGCCCATTTCCATTTTATATTTCCTTTCCTCAAAAATATCATCGCCAGCATTAAAAAGCATTGCTATTGTCATTTTTTTAACAGGAAATTATCCAGCCTTCCTCCCTTTCCTAGACTTGCCTTTGGCACAGGCAGAAATGCTGAGCATGAGCGTGAGTATCAGGCTGTGACCCTGAGCAATAAGAAGCTTCAAGCCACAGATTTTACCCAGTTTTGTTTTCTGCACTGGGGGGGAAATCAATTTCTTAAATCAGCTACCATCTAATATGAATCTCACCTTGAACTTTGGGTTGCGAGGCGTCTTGCTGCAGCTCGTGTCTACAGTAACTCCTCCCCTTCAAAGACATCTGCAATCCTGTTGAAACACTGCAGGCAGCACCCCGGCACCGGCAGCGCTGGTCGGCTGGCTCGCCGCTCCATTCCCGTGCTGACAGCGCACGTGGCGCTGTGGAACAGGCTTCTCTCGTTTGTCTGTCAATAGCAGGTTCACCATAGCAATTCCACAAGGTGACTGTTGAGCATGAATTAATAGAAAAATACAGCCTTTAAAATAACAGCTGTTCGGCGGTCTGCTCTTTATTTTGCATTTAACTGAACTGGGAGAAATGGGATCAAAATAGCAATCGTAAAGTGATTGTGTAAGAAAAGATCAAGAATGAAACCTTGCAAGTACTTGTGTTTAGAAATGGTACATGGGTACTGAATATGTATCAGAAATTTTAGTACCAGTAAGTATTGGTACTGGTCAGAGCCTAAATATAGATGTCAGTAAAATGCAGCAATCAACTGGAAATTCATAAACCATCTTCCATAGCCGATTTTGACACAGTAGATGGAGAAGGTTTGGGGTAGTTTTGGTTTAATTGGTTGTTTTTTTTAGGGAGGAGGCATTTGGTTTTTGGTTTTGTCAGGGTTTTTTGGGGGGTGGGGTTTTGTTGGGTTGTGTTTTTGTGTTTTGTTTTTTTTTTTTTTCTTTTTTAGAATCACCAGTAAATTCTTGTTCTTACGATAAGAAGAACAACACAGCACACCAAGGAGCTCTGGGCACTGCAGGTCAGCACTGCCTCACCCACGTTATGGTTTCCTGGCAGTTCTGAAACAGCTGCCTGAAACAGTTAGTCCAAAACACTGAATTCAACTCCAGACTCAAATATTTCCATTTGAATCATATTAAACAGGTTTTAGGATAAAAGCAGAGGAAGTGTAACCATTAAGAGGTTGATTTATGTAAGCAGACCAATATGATTTAAGCAAAAATAAGGCCAGAAAGGAGCAGTGTGCAAGACCTGAATGTATCTTGCACCAAACTCTGTACCAAACCTTCTCTTTGATCATGAAGAAGTTTTGAAACTGGTCTTTCCCCTCTCAGTGAATTTGCCCTAATTAACGAGCACTCTGAGGGAATTTTTTTTTTATCTATCCTGAAGCTATTCTGCTCCAAGTAAATATCCTTTATTTAATTATTTAATTATCCATTAGGTTTGAGTGTCAGAGAGAATAACCTTATAGATCTGTGGCAAGAGTACTCTGGAGGTACCTATAAAGTTCACTGCCTTAACCGTGTACTGGAAACAGAGACATTTTATGCCTCTTTTCTGCTTACTTTAGTAAACAGTACTGTGATTAATCTGTTTTGAGGAGCTGAAATGAATTTTACCTGATTTTATTTTTATTTTGGCTTGAAACCATTTGCCAATTTCAACTGAAGTTCATAAATCAACATCTTTTTGCTTGCTGAACACAGACTCAACAGGAAGAATTGTATCTCGCACTTCCTTACACATAGCCAAATCCGTCTGAAGACTTTTCAGGCTGAAAGCAAACAGTAGACATCCCTCATGGGAAGTTATAAGCTTCCACAAGACTAACCAACCTGCAACTGCTCTGCAATCTCTAACAATTAGATCTAGTGCGTGTCTCTTCAATTTTACCCATT